CTCTGGATCCTGCCGCTCGCTCAGCCGGCGCGGGGAGAGTTCCTCGGCAGGAAGGCGGCCGGGAGGTCGCGGGTTTCCCCGCGGGGGAGGGGCAGGAGAGCGCCTCCCCCCCCCCCGACCCGCTCCCGGGAGGCTCAGGGCAGCCCTCGGGTCTCGCCTCCCGCCCGACCGCTCCCGGCGCTGGGGAGGTTGACAGCTCCGCCGCTTCCACGTGAGTCATAATTTCTGGGGAAGCTGTGAGGGCTCCGGGGGGATTCGGCATTTCGGGGTGGGCCAGGAGCCTCGGGCGTTTGATGTAATTGCTGGGGCAGCCCATTCCAGCGAAGGGGTCTGCTCAGCCTGACGGGTGGTTTACGCATCCCGGGTCTAAATTCCTGCCATTTTAATGAATATACGCGAACCTTTTTTCCGGGGGCTGCTTTTACCGCTGTTTGCCAGTTCTTAATTGATTCTGCTTATTGAAACGCAGGAAATAGCTGTAAGGATGAAAAATTATCTGTAAGCTTTAGCCTGCAAAGTTGCCTGCCGGATTGTGCTGGTAAGGTGGAAGAATCCCCCATCTCTCCTTCTATGGCTTCATCACTAGAAATCTTAAAGTAAGAAATTCGGGCATCTGCAAATTGGTGGTATCAGTTATAAACCAGCAATGATTGCATGAGAAGTTTGTGCTGATTTAGGCTTTGAAAGAGGTCCGAACTTCATCAAGACTTTGGTGACTTCCTTCGGGAAGGAAGAGACACTTTAATTTTATTCAGTGGTACTTCTCTAGTCCTGGGGAGTTCCCATTTCTTCCCTTACAGAGGAGCAGTCCTGGCTTGTGAGCATTCAAACAGGAGTCATAACCTATTTCATCATGTTCTGTATGATATGCATATATCTTTTCAGAACACTTTGTCACATTCCCATGCTACGCCTAATGTTTACAAGGAGCTATAAAGTGGCTCCCTATAGTCTAAGGGAGTGTAGAGCTGTGTAGAGCTAAGCTTTAGTTTGTTGAATAAGCCACAATGGCTGGGTTCACAAAACCCAGGAAGCCACACTGGGCCTCGGAATAATGTGTGAATCTAGCCATTTTCTTTGATTCCAAAGTTACCAAGGTATGAGAAGTTATCCCCGCTTTTTCCTTTGCTATTAAATGCCAGTGGAGATGCTCGTAAGTTTCTATAAAGCTGTTTCTTGAAGATTGCTGTGTTGAGGACACAATTCCATTGCTTTCAACCATCCTTTCATTTTGCATTTCATGGTTGGCAAATAGAGTGACTCAAAGTGACAACGAGCCTAAAAGGGGGCTTGTTTGGAAGAGCTGTTCACAATACAGAACTTCTGATGGCAACTGCTGAAGTTGGAACACATCCATCCATAGAGGACCAGAGGACAATTGGTGATTGTGTCCTTATTCACTTTTTCTAAAAAAAAGTAGGCTTTATTCATTTTGAGGAGAAGGGGGTGTTTTTCTCCTTAGGTTGCATCTCCTTTCTGGTTATTTTATTGAATTGTTCCTCAAATGACTGGAATATCTAAATGTTAATGTGTGTTGAAAGTAAGACCAACTTTGACAAATGGAAACCATCTCATAAACTGCTAAGTTTTGCTGATTTAAAAAAAATCTACATCTGTTAATGCAAGAAGGTGGATGGAAAGATATGATTCATTGTGCATAGAAAGCAGCTTTTCTGATATTGCTCCTACTATGTAATTGGCAAAATACTTTGGAAACAAATCAACTGTACTGTCTATGAAATGACATACAAATTTTTGTAAATGAATAGATGCAGGAGTCTTGTCTTTTAAGAGAGGGCTAAAATTGTAGGAGTTATTTTGAATAATTCTCCTTTTGCTATCTTGTGACTGCACCATTAAAATTGTAACCTGTGGTTTGTAACCAGTGCAAATTGGCTCTAAAGAAATGACAAAAATATAGTATTGGATGAGCCTGTTAAAGCTGCACCAACCTACAGCTATTAGGTTTATCTTATTTGGTCATATTTCATTTATTCATTAGATAAACAGCCTGCCTTTCCTCCCAGAAGTTCAGGATAGCTGCCTCTTCTAATGTAATTCCCCACAACAACAGTTTTGTGAGATGTGGTTTCTTTGGTTTTGGCTTTGCACAGTGTATAAATGTAACCAATTATGACTAGTCAGAAGATCACAGTTAAAAAGTGTGGCTTAGCGACATTGTCACATGTGAACTAAATGTGGACTTGAACCTGGGTCTCCTAGTTCCAACTTAATACCTGATCTTCCATAAAACTATCTTTCATATTTAATAATTCTCTGAGTTACACAAAGCAAAGACCCTTATTTTGCTGTTGAGTAGATGTCAATTGAGCTTCTGTTCTTACACCAAGATTTTGTTCATTTTGACAGTGCTGATGTAAAAGAAATCCCTTGGACAGTTCTTTTATTTCCAGACTTGGAATATTTTTTTCTCTTACTGCCTGATTGAAAAAAAGTAGCCTACGACTTCTACAGCAGAGAAACTTGCTCAGCTGGACTCATTTCCCCTTCCCAGGCCATTCTTCCCAACTGTCCTGTTCAAAGAATTGTAGAAGTTTTTTTTATTGATCTTTATTTATTTATGGTTATTTGTCAGCCTTAGCTGATGTCATATAGCTAAGCAGGGGTGGACCTGGTTAGTACTTGGATGGGAGGCAGAGGTGTAGATTAGGCTGGGAGATTGAAAAAAAACCATTCTAAAAGAAGATAGTAGCAAATTGCATTTTTATTGTCAAGAAAACAGTATGGCTGTATCCATGTATTCATTAGGAGATAAACTCAGTAGAGGCTTTACCTATATTGCTTGCAGGCTTTTTAATCTAAAAAGATATAAATAATTGAGTAATTAAAGTTCAGTGATTAGCCTTGACTGTGTCCATACTGTGTATTGAGAAGAGCACCACAAGCCCAAATTCTATGGACGGTCTTACAGTTATTAATGGACGGTCTTGCAGATATTGCTGGTCTACAATTTATATTGCAGCATTGTCCTCTTCTGGCAATGGCTGTTTTTCTGTAGCCAGTCCACAGATCCAGTCATCATCAAATACAAAGTTATGCATGTACTTACACACGTGATAAAGCTTCCAGACCTGAGAATCTGTAACAACCTAGGACAGAGTTGTTCTCTATTATACAGTTACAGCAGGATGCCCAACCTTGTGGCCTCTGGAAAAACTAGATTCTTGTGATGGTTAGGGATTCTAGGAATTGAAATCTGACATATATCAGGAGAACCAGATTGGGGAAGGAGGAACTATAGTATAAGGGATCAAGAAAAGATAATTTCAGCTGTATCAGATGATGATGTCAATATGGAGCTGTGGACAATATTTGATGTATTATTATGTACTTTATAATGGCCAGTATCGGACACAGATTTTTTAACTTTCTGTTCCCCCTTTGTGTGGGCAAGTATTAGAGGGGTATTAGAAGCTTATGATATCAAATAATCACACTACACTAAATTTGTAAGTGTGGCTTCGGTCATAGTGGATGAATTCATAGCAACTTTAACAATATATATGAATGCAAAAATATAAAAATGGCTCATAGTTGCTTCCTATGAGTTACTGCCTTCCAGATGTGTTGGATGTTCATTTCTCATGGCCTGCTGGGAATCAAAATCCAGCACATTTCTAGGTTGCAGAATTCTGGCTTAAAGATCTCTTCTCCACCTTCCCTTAAGTAGGGAACTGTCTGATGTAATTGAAAATGAGCACTGCCCAGCTCATATTGTCCACATGAAGAGTAGGCGTGAAAGAGAATTTGGTGCTGTGTGTTGTATTTGACAAGCTTGGAAATTTAGGTTGGCAAGAGAGCAGCGTTGTTAGCGCAAGAGCAGGCCTAGGGCGAATTGATGGAACCACCTACTGCCAACAGAACTTAATTGATTTAGAGACTCAGAACAAGTATTATCTTTTAATATCAAGTGAAAGTGGCATTGGAGGTAGAGTGAAATATTTTGGCATATTCTATGTTCTGATCTTTTATATAGGCAATCATGGTGTGTTTGCTTGTATAAACGGAGTGGGGTTGCTTGTTCAGAATGTATTTCTTAGACCAATGTCATATCTACCTTCCAGAAGCTCTGGTTCTGTTAAGTGGCTTTGCCCAATTTGTTTTATCCTTGCAACAGTCTTGTAAGGAAAGTTAGGCTGAGAGATGGGGTTTGAACGTGCCTCTCCCCAGACCTAGTCCAACATTCGGAGTAGTCTGCCATGATGCTGCTGTCTCTGTCAATAATGCATAGAAAGCACATGAACGCTTGTACCTGACATTGAATGGGTTAGCTTTAATGGAAGTTCAAAATATGTTCCGTAACCGTTCTAAAAGATTGCCTTGGGAGATGAACTTGTTTAGATGTGCCCAGGAAAGCATATCCTGCTGGTTTCAAAATATAGTTCCAGTAATGTAGCAAATATAGCAGTCTGGGCCACTTCATTGTGAGTTCATCAGATTTCACCTTCTCTTCTGGAATATTCCAGCAGATCATAAGACCTCTGCAATTAATCTGCTTTTTCCTCCCACTCAGTTCTTTTCCTTTTGTGTTTTGTCTTCCAGATAATCTCTGCTCTTGGGTTTATAGACTTGGTATTGACCTCCTAAGGCCCTGGGAATTCTTCCTCTTTTTGTGGCTGACGAGCAGGATAAAAATGCTTAACAATAACCATCCTCAACTTGGTGCCATGGCTATCTTTGTTATAATGTGTAATGAAAAATCTCTAAATCACATTAAGGTAGGAAGTTATATTGACCACCAGGAGGCAGGCAGCATGTAACCAGCTTCCTCCTCTTTGGATTTCATCAGATGTCAGTAGCCAGATGTTCTATGGGTTCAAATCCCCTATTGGGAATTGAACTCACAGATGGTTGCACTTTAGATGACAAAATACAGCACATCAGCATTAAGAACTATCTAGGTCCTGGTGGTCAGCAGTTGCAGGAGAGAATACAGTATATAGAAGGTCTTGGATGGTATATACTGAAAGCAGAGAGATACAGATGTTATATTATGCCATGTCCCCATGTACGGGGTGCATCCCAGTTGCATCATGTAGAGCCTGAACTCTGCCTTTTGGATTGTTGTGCATACCACTGAAAAATAAAAAATGTGATTTTGTGACTTAATGTGTGAGAAACATTAAAAAAAAACAAACTAGGGAGTTTCACATCTAATTGGGGAAACTTGGGAGTAGTGTTTTCCAGCAT